TGCATGGTATAACTTCTTGTTTCCTTTAAGGTACTTCTCCTGTAACTGTCGTAGAATGAAAATTGCATCCATTGTACCTCTCCCAGGTCGAAACTTAAACTATATTTCATCGATGTCTACGATTTCCCTTATTCTCTTTTCCAGGACCTTTTATTTCACTTTCAGCAGACACTCCACCAGTTTTATTCTCTATAGTTTTCACACTCAAGAGCATCTCATTTCTACTTGTAGTTGGGTATCAACAGGATCTCTTTCTACTCTGTGGGTATCTGCTCTTCCCTCCAGGTGTTCTTCAACAGGGTCAATACCTATTGAACTCCATCATCTCCTAGTGCCTTGACCATCTCAATAATAATCTTTGATGGACCTCCCGCACTGCCTATCTTCATTTTTCAGACTGCTTCTTTGACCTCTTCTCTACTAATGTCTGGTTCTGGGCCTGCTATTGGTGGTGTCTCCTTCAATTCTTCTGCCTCATTTTTGGTGTTAAGTAGTTCCTTGTAGTACTGTTTCCATCTCTGTTTTACAGCCTATTCATTCATCAGGAACTTTCCTTCTTTGTCCTTAATTAATTTCATCACCGCGATGTCTTCTCTTTGCAATTTCCCTTTGCTTGGTTATTTTGTATACCTTCTTCTTCCCTTTTGGTGTCTTCATGTTGTCATTCCAATTGCCTCATTCTTTGCTAATGTTACCGTTTTCTTTACTTACAAATTTACTTTTTTGTATGCTATTCTTGAATAGTCATCCTTCTTTATCTGTCATTCTTTGAATACTTCTTTCTTTTCCTTGATGGTTTACTGTACTTTTTGAAGAAACTTGAAGAGTGATTAATATAAATCAACTATCAAAAACTTTGTGTTCACAATCTGATTAGACTATCAGAATAAATATGGAGCTAGGTTTGGATCATTTTTACCTGGTAAGTTCCAAATCTGAAGTATACAACACTTATGTTAAAGCTTTTTACTGTGTTCTCTGTCAATGCTTGGAAACGGCTGGAATGTTTCGACAAGGTTTTATCATCATCTGATGATGACAAAACCTTGTCGAATTGTTGTACATTTGCTGTTATGCTAAACTTATATTAAAGTTTTTCTTCATTACCCATTCAAGCCGTCTTCAAACATTATTAGTCTCAAAGTGAGTTCCTTGTCATCGAATTTGTGTTCTCTGTTGTTCAAGGATAATGAGCAAGATTTAAAGTTTAGAACACATTTAGTGAAAAGTGTTCAATGCTGGTCTACTTTTGCAACCTGTTGTTTGTGCTTTACACAGATGAAGTAACTCATTATTTACGAGTTTCTACCTCTCAGTGCAATTCTGAAGTATTGTTTCTCTACATACTTTTAGATACTTCTCCTTGTTTGTTTCATGTTGCTGTTTTGATAACCGTTACAAGTATCATTTTTATCACTGATTGGTTATTAATAAAATTTCATCCACTTTTTAATTGATACTTATATAATTAGAATTACTAATTGTTATAAATGCATGCATAATTATTATTTTATATTATTGTGGTACATTAAATATTCATAGAACATTGTACTACAAGCAGTGAAGACAATCACAGTAGAATAAAATAATCTGTGACTTCAAGACCTTCATACAAGATAATGTATTGTCAGAAATATAAACGAAACATAAAAATAATGCTGTTTTGCTAATTTTTAGTATTAAAAATTTTTTAAATTAGTTCTTTTTTCATTTAGTGTTTTACAGATCTGTTTTGGTTAGTATCCAGTTTAGATTTAGGTATGTTTTGTGTTTTTATAAGAAAAAATTGCTGCAACTAATTTGCATAAACATTTTATATATTTAAAATAAGCACTTGAGCTTCATGGTCTTAATATTATTGTTCCCTTGAATGACTGTACTGAAATTAAAACATTTATTTTGCATTGGTAATTATGCTATTTTACAATAATTTGAATAGGACAAGTGTATTAAACTGAATGTTTTTGTGACAATCATCTGACTATAAAAGTAGAATTTTAAAGACTTCACATTTATTTATGTAAAATTATGTGCAAGCTACAAATTCTATTGGAACTAAAGTGATTTTAATTATGTTTTGCTGTGTTCATGAACATTAAGTACACTTGATACTAGTGCCATAACTACATTTACTCCCCTTCCTTGTTAGGGGCTGTGGGGGAATAATTTCACAACTGTTTGACACACACAACTGAAGGTGCTACATTTAAACTTGTTTGGAATAAATGACTTAATTTTGTAGTTTATTTACATGTAGTGCTTATACTACAGTTGAAATAGGTAATTTTCTACATTTTTATGCAGGTGTTCTACATGTAGTTATGACATACTTGTTAGTCGGATACTAAAAAATTGTAAGCATATGCTAAGCCTTTTACTTAGGTAAATGCTACACATAGTAATGGATATTACATAAAGGCTTGTACCACGTTGACCTTTTATGTGTGTCCTCTTTTTGGGGTGAGGAACATCCATCTCAAGGGGTTACACAGATACTTTTACAACTTATTATGAGTTAGGGAGGGAATTCTATCATTTCTATATGTGTCATTTGAAATAGTCAGTGACAAAGGTAACCTTGGACTATGGGATATCACACTTAGATCATTGTATAAATTGAACTTGCAGTAGAATTTTTGCCATCATTGTCCAGTGTGAATGCATTTAAAAATCCCTCTTCTTCATTCCAGAAGTTAAGGAAGTCACAACAGAAAGTTAAATACCAACTAGTAGGTAAAATACACTATAATACATAAAATTGTGAATAAATATTTGTTTCATTTGTTTACTTGTGTTTGCTGCCCCTGTTTCATTTATTCCTTATATAACATTTCCTGAATCTGCATTTTGTGGAAACATTTTACTACCTCTTGAATATCAGAGTACCTTAATACCACACTTCTATTATTTTTTAAATTTTATATTATTATGAAACCATTCAAAATTTAAAACAGCATAAGGTATAATTAACACAAAATTATTGTTTGTATTTTCAAGATTAAAATATTGTTCATGTAATATTTTGGATGCTACATAACATATTAGTAAACTATAAAAATCTATTACTACTGACATAATTCATGTAACTTTACAATATTTTGCTTTTATTAGTGAAGTTACAGACCCAATACATGAAACATTGTATTTAAATTGTCTGTAAATTCTTTATTACTCTAAAATACAGTGTATCTATATTCTATAACTGAAATATGCCTAAAACATATAACTCAGTTTCCATCTGTCTTTTAGTAACTGTGATTCATAATTTATCCAATATTGAGATCTTACCATACTAATAGTGGTCAAACAAATCTATAAATGAGTTATACAATTATATAAGGGCATAGAAACCAAGAGGAATGTCACTAAGTTTATTACACAATAAATAATTTCATTTCTGAGAGACTTCATAATGAATTGAAACATTAAAATATAAAAGAAAGTTATGTTTTGCAACTGAACAGTAGTATACATTATAGCCACATGCACAAGAAACTTTAGTTTTTGCAGTTCTTTGCAAAGAGTAACACTTGCTTTAAACATATATAAACAAATTGTTATATAACTACAGAAATCTAGAACAACTCAGTTAACTCTCCCTCAACTCCATTACACAAATATGAATGTGTGTGTGTGTGTGCATGTATATATATGTGTGTGTGTGTGTGTGTGTTTATATGTATGTGTGTCACTAAATCTAATCACATTTACACATTTGTAGTAAAAGTTTGTATTTTTGTGAAAAGTACAATAACATCATAACATCTCTAGTTTTCATCTTTGAAAGGTATACAATACTTTTTACATCAAGAAAGTACAACATACCAGTAATGTAGGTTCTCCTATTATAATTTTTCTAATGCAACTGATAAGGACATACAACTATTGAATGTATATATCCTTTTGAATATATACTATTTTTCCTAAAATGAATGCTCACAATAACAACATCAAACCTGACCACTGTTGTTACGATAAGAAGTTTGTGAATTTGAAATACAGTAACTGAATAAACAACTTAACTGTATGAGACAGTATATGACAGTAGCATGCTGAGAGTCAGCAGTTGGTGAATAAGTTTTCTGATGTTCTTTGTGATTTTTTGAAATTGGGAAACCATACTCATGTGTTTAATGTAACTTGCAAAAAAACTGAAAATTATTTTTTCTATCTGTTTTCTGTGAACTTTGTGTTGTGATTTAATGGTGAAGTCCCCTCTAGACCCTCTTGTGCCCCCCCCCCCTCTTAAGCATTCTGGTTTATGGTTTCAGAAATGTAGTCAAAATAATGATAACACTACAGAGCTTGGGATGAAAAACATGATAGTAGTTTTCAATAAAACTCAAACTAACAAGTAACAATACATATACTATCATATTATATCCTATGGTATTGCATGTTTATGCTATAAAGAATGTATTACATGTATTATAAACAGAAAACAATGTACATTATGCTTTTATTTTGGTGTAGGTACATAAACGAACTTAAATAAATGCAGATTTTCAACATTTTCATTACACAATTTATGGTTTCTCAGCCAGATACTTCCATGATTGGCTCAATCTATCAAAAGCAATATATAAAAATTAATTTATGTGATTACATACAAGACAATTTTGCTAAGTTATTTCATGATATACTTTAGAAAAAAAATTAGTATGAAAAAAAGATAACTTACCTTTATGATTATAAAATAATGAAGTGAACAACATCACAAACGTTATTTTAACTAGGAAAACAGTTTGATAACACAAAAGTATAATTTTCTCTCATATGTCCACTAATAAAATGTAACTTGAATTTGTTGTAAATATTACAATGACTTTCTTGGTTATATATACTGCTGATATCTCATTTCTATTTAATTTCCATTTACAAGAACAAAACGTTGTTAAAACTCAATTAATACAATATTTAAATTACTACAGTCACTTCTGTAATATATATATATATATATATATATATATATGTATAATTTGTGATACTTGTTCCTTTCCAATACATACTTTTTTTTCTCTAGAGACTGCCACTTGGCATAGTTCCACTGTGCCTGGTTTTCCGAATACTGTCATCTGAATCAACAGTGGGATTTGCAGAATTTAAGAGAGCCATAGTTTTCTCAAAATCAATAGTTGCATAACCTTCTGGACGTTGATGTGCAGAACCCATAGAACAGTCAATAGTTGTAGGTTTCAACTTTATAGAGGAAATACAACCTGATTTATTCTTCTGTTGAAGATCTAATGTAATATACTTCATCTGTATCTCTTCTGTTTGATTTGCTGGCACACAATTTTGTTTAGTATTTATATACATGTGAGAGTTGTCATTTTGTGAAATCTGACTGGTTACTATTTCACGAGTAAACCTTGCTGGACAAACACAAGAAAAGTTGTCATCAGAAGTAATAGTGTCTGTCTGTCCACATGTTACAGATATTTGTTCCAACCCTCCATTAACATAACAGTCTTCATTCTCATGTTTATCTATATAGTCCTGTTTCCAGAGCTCATCTAAACGTGTGTAGTTGGTATTTATATCCACAATATGTATGTCTAAATTACAACCACTCTCAGGTGAACAAGGAATACCACTACACTCATCATTTAGATATTTATAACCAATACAGTTAAGAGAATCCACAGTTACATTTACATAAGAATGCTTCTGATGTAAAGACTCTGTTGTAATGGATTTTTTCATGGTGTCTTGGATAACAGAAGAATTAACATAAGGGTGACTAACTACACTAGAAAAAGAGGACCTCGGATGCTGAGAGCCAAGAATTACTATTTCTTCATTCATATAGTGAGGTGATGGAGTTGAAAATGTTTTACATGAATGAACACTACAGTGACAAATAAAGCAATCTAATGCAGCAGTTCTAGTAGACCATTTCTCTGGGAATGAATGTCTTATGGTGCATTTAGTTTGATTGCTGTTTTGAGTGCTACTGTTTGTTGGAGATGATACCATGAAGGTTGATGATGAAGGAATGTTTGAATTTCTTACAGGTACCAAATCATGCAGACTAAAGGCAGGCCCTTGCTGACTAAGTCTGGTACCAGAAGAAGCACTAGCTTCACCAATCTGACCCTCCGTATAACAGTCACCACTTGTGCAATTCTGAATACATTTTTGAAGCAAATTAAACAAGGCTTCTGCATGATGACATTTGAAAGCATAAATAGCAGGTCCTGTTGAACATTTACGACCACACTCAAAAGAGAATAATTCTGAGTCATAACCATACCGTCTCAAACTTTGTAAAGGCCATCGTATGGGAGGTTTTCTTTTCTGATACAAAATTAATTCTGAGTGAGTAAGTTCAATTTTCCCTGTAGACACATGATTCCCTTTGTCATCCACATTCCATACCTAATATTGAGAAGAAAATAATTAAACATACCATTAAAATTTAAAGTATACTTTGAAACCTCAAGCATTAATTTCTTAAAACAGCTGATGCACAATTCTGTGATATTCTCGAACCTACCTTTAATAGGGGGGGCAAAAGGTGCCGGGGTCCCAGGTATCCATATCGGGAGGGCATCCAATGCAAAGAGTCGAATCGAATAGTAGAACCCTTTTTGCCCTTCCCCAAGGTCTTAGGTACAAGGTCATCATAGAACCTCTGCACACCACTGATCTGGTGTTATCCAGCTTTCCATGTAATTAAATTTATTTTTTTGGTCTGCCTTATCTATTCCAATGAAGGGTCTACCTTCAAATCTAGGCTACTAATTGTCAAGTTTATGCTTATCATACATGACAAAACATGTCTTCAGTATAAAATTCATTAATTACTTTTTTGATATAAACATATGATATGTTAGATGAACATACATGTGCACTGTAACATGTGCTACAAATACTGTACTTCCTGGTGTGCAGTATAGGTAACATGCACACTCTAGTAATTGAGTCAGCTCAAATACTCATCGATTCACAGCAAGAAAATCTGTATATAACAGTACCCCTTTGGATAAATATAATGGTATGTGTCAGATCTAACATTTAGCAAATGAGCTTACATTGGATGCTTACTGACAGTTAATAAACCAGAATATGTATTGATTTACTGGATGTTACTAATTTAATGTAAAAACAGTTAATAAACATAGATGTACCACTAACAAAAACAAAAGCTGTAACATACTTATACTGTAATTAACAGTCTGACAAAGGCAAAAAGCAATCTGTCCTAATTTAAAATTAAGTACAGGGCCTCCAGTTTGCACTAGTATTGTGAGATACTTCAAAACCAAGCAGACAATTTTTTACCCAGTTCATTAAAAGTTGTAACTAGTGGCTAATGAATAACACCAGTTACACCATCTACCTCTGCTTCATATGGTATCTGTACTTTAAATAGAAGCTGTATAATACTTGTCTGATTCCTATTTCATGAACTTTATAGATGTGGAATGAGTTCTGAATTAAGTTTCTACTTATACATTGAAGAACTTGTTACTACTTTAATAGGTCTTTATAAGGTGACAAGAATGACTCAGTTACTTAATTAGAGCTAATTCCTTTCTTGAAGTACATGTACAAACACAACGGAGCATGTTAAAATACTCCAAGTAACTTTTAAATGCAATGTGATTTTTAAACTGTTCCTGATGCCCTGAAAAATACTTTAGATAACTTCAAATCTTACAAAGTAATTATTTTAAGGAAAATATTAGATTCATTGCTTAAAACACATATAAAATATTTAAAATACATTACAGAACTGAAATTTCAGAGTAGAAGCTTTATTCCACTGTAACTTCTTCATCTGCCATGCTAATATAATCTCTTTAAAAATACTCTGGAGCTGCTATAGAATCTAAAAAATAAATATCAACATCTGACAACCTGAAAGTAGACCATCCACCTCTCTAAATTAATTGTTTGTTTTGAATTTCGCGCAAAGCTACACGAGAGCTATCTGCGCTAGCCATCCC